CATGCCCACTTATATCAATCAATATACACAGTAAGGAAACAAGAAATCAATCAATGGCGGCTAAACACGAGGACTTACCAGTACCCATTTTCACTTCTCTTGAACCCGTTTACGGAACCGGCTCCCAGCTTGAAGAATCGGAACTTCGATTCACCCATTTGAAGTCAAAGTTCATTGGGTTCTTCACCCACCCTCCCGATATCTTCGCCCGATCTCCAGGTCCATTTTTGCTTCCTTACATACACATTTATGTTTATGTATCTACTGATCCAGTTTGTTTGGCTAAAGCCGTAAACTTTAGTAACTATATATCGTTTTTGGGTGGATTTACTTATTTTCCATATCTTATTGCTTTGAGAAAAGTTAGTAATTTGTGTTTTTCTGAAAATTGGACATTCGATCTTAGATGCAGGGAGGATAATGTACTTGGGTTTTGGATGCCTGTGAATTGAATTATTGTTTTGGGGTGTAGGGAGGGTGAATTTGATAGGGGAGCACATAGACTATGAAGGTTACTCAGTATTGCCAATGGCTATCAGGCAAGATACCATCATCGCAATACGGAGAAACGACACCAAGGTGCTTAAGATCGCAAATGTGAATAGTGACAAGTACTCTTTGTGTACTTACCCTGCTGATCCCGAACAGGTATGCTTATATTTGACTCTTATCTTTGTCTGCTGACTTTAACGACTTGGTTTTTGAAAAAAATACTGACAAGATGTCACAGACACGTTGATTAAAATTTTAAAATTCTTCATTTATATACGGTGTAAATTTAGTTTTATACATGTTATTAATTTTTGTTGTTGAAATCTTTTAAATATGAATACATATTTTTTATTTAATATTTAACTCAAAGTTATTATGACATAAAAAAATAGTTATTCATATTTAACTGATAAAGAAAGAAAAATGACGTGTCCGAGGAGTGTTGGTATTTGACACATGTCGAATACGGACACGCCACCCTAGTTGAAGTGTCTGTGCAACAAATTATCACATGGGGCCAAGTTAATGCATGTTACATGTCCTTTTCTCCTTCAACCCATTACCACATGTTAAAATGCTCACTATTTTCATTTTTATTTGCTAGGAAATTGATTTAAAGAATCATAGATGGGGTCACTATTTCATTTGTGGGTAAGAAATTGATTCGGCATTGCAATCATTGTTGGCTACTTTTCTTCCACACTTATTGATCATGGTTGTTGACAGACCATCAGTTGTCCTCTTCATGACTGGGAATAACATAGTGCAGCGATACATACTTGGCTATTCTTCTTCCATTGGCAAGACTTGTAATTTTTATCTTGCAGGTACAAAGGCCTCTACGAGTATGCCAAATCTAAGGGAATAGATGTCGGTGAACCAGTCGGACTTGATGTTGTTGTTGATGGCATTGTTCCAACTGGTTTGTTACTTATCCAATTTAATGCATATATTGTATTGAAAGTCAGCGATCACCTATGCAACATAATATTGAAAGTCTGCTGCATTTGTTTGCTCTTTGACAATTGCTATAATGGCCACATTGGGCATGAACTTTCCCAAGGAATTGTGCCCAATTGTTCATTTGGTGATTTGTTCCATAGATCTGATCAAAAGTGCTTGAATGACATAAAAGTATTCTCTTCTATACTTTTAGTTCTTCAGCAAAGAAGCAGAGGATAGAAAAGCAGTGGAGATCACTTTGTCCACTTCAGGAGTTAAGTTGTTGGGTATTTTTCCCTTCTAACTCTATTTTGTTTATTTTTATTTTTCAGAAAGAAGTTGCTCAAGTTACATGTGAATGCGAAAGACACATTGGCACCCAATCTGGTGGAATGGACCAGGTAATTTATCTTCTTTCCAAAATAAATTCCTGAAACAAATGTCCATGACATCTGCACAAAGCCCAAGAGAACTGTAAGGCTGAAATTGTTTGTATGCTTGCTATAATAATTCCCGCGAACGCTTTGTTATTTAACTTGAGGTTCTATATTGTCCATTCTCTGGTATTATATTTCTTATTTATGATGAAGTTCTCTCCATTTAAATGCTCAACATTAATCTTCATAACTTAAAATTTTGCTCCTATATTTTACAGGCTATCTCGGTTATGGCTCAATCTGGGTTTTCAGCTCTCATTGATTTCAATCCTATTCGTGCAACTGAAGTGCAACTCCCTGCTGGTGGGACTTTTGTTATAGCTCATTCATTGGCTGAATCTCAGAAAGCTGTTACTGCTGCAACTAATTACAATAACAGGGTTGTTGAATGCCGTTTAGCTTCTGTAAGTTCTTTGGTTTGACAGCATGCATGTTTGCTATCAGATGAACTGATTTCTGTGTGATAGAGTTGTCTGTTTTAGTGCTATAGTAATCTTGCGTTCAACATTGTGATATACTGATTGTTAAGTTTTTATAGATTGTGCTAGGCATAAAACTTGGAATGAAACCTCAGGAGGCTATAATTGAAGTCAAGACACTTTCAGATGTTGAAAATTTGTGTGTTTTGTTCGCGGGTACTCGTGGATCTTCTGATCCAGTCCTTGCTGTCAAGGTACCTGTTCTTTTGTTTTCCCATTTTTTGTTGGTGAGAAGTCTCTGCAGCAAGTTTATCTGCTTATTACTTTTTCACGTCTACTCCTTGGCATCACTCTTGTAGTTACTAGTTATCACCTTTCTGAGAGTTATCAATGCCTTATTTACTTGGATTCTCTAATTGATTGTGAATATTCTCACGTCTGTGACCATTGGGAGTAATGGTTTGTTTTATATTGCAAAAGGAATTTTTGAATGAGGAACCATATAGTGCTGAAGATATTGAGAAAATAACTGAAGAAAAACTGCGAGTTATCTTTACCAATTCCCCTTCTTCCTTGGACGTGCTGAGAGCTGCAAAACATTTTAAGTTGCACCAGGTAATTTTCTATTCATTTAAAGATTTTGCAGCTATGGTATGTGTCTTAGTCAGCTATTGAAGTTATATTTGCCAATAAACCATAAAAAAAGGGAACCCCATTCACTTAGGAGGAACTGGTTGTTGCTACCAATATGACAGTATTTCCCAGATGCCCCTTTGGGTGAAATGAACTAATCGTTTTACTAGCTTGTAAAATTTTATGTAATTCTATTCTAAATACATTTTCAGAGAGCTGCCCATGTCTACTCCGAAGCCAAGCGTGTACACACTTTCAAAGATACTGTATCATCGAAATCGAGGTGAGCCAGAGATATATTTCTCTGTGTACTGCAAGTGTTTATCATTTGTGCATTTGAGATGTATTTGTCCATATATATATTTCACATTTCAACATACCTTAAGCACATTTTGTGCTTTCTAACATTGAACCTGAAAACTAGATTAATTTTGACTATTTAAATTATGAAGCGAGTAACTTGTGAGGACTTGTTATTGCAGTGAAGAAGAGATGCTGAAGAAGCTTGGTGACCTTATGAATGACAGCCACCACAGCTGCAGTGTATTATATGAATGCAGGTAAATCTTAATTTTCTTCATAATGCTCTTATCTTCCCTGCAGTCATAAAAGAAAATTTCTGCCAATATTGAAATATTAATTCCAAAATTGATTATACTTTTACTCATGTCACTTATTTATTAATTAGCTGTCGGGAGTTAGAAGAGCTTGTGAAGATTTGTCGTGATAATGAAGCTCTTGGAGCAAGGCTTACGGGAGCTGGATGGGGTGGTTGTGCTGTTGCCTTGGTGAAGGAAAGCATCGTTCCTCAATTTATCCTTAATCTCAAGGTTAGTGTTTGCATCCTTAGTGGTAGATTACCACAACTTAAGTCCTCAAGTATTGAAAATATTGGGTGTTGCACTAGATACTACTTAATAGTTCACGGATTACCAATTTAACGGCTTTTAAGTTACTGAATGGTTGTTACTTATCCATTTTTAGTTTTGACCCTATGTGCGGAATTAATCAATAAAAAGCAACAAGTCACTTTTAATTGTTTCTAGATGATTACCTTTCAAAAAAAAAAAATGTTTCTAGATGATTAAGTATACAAGTCCAATTATCCTATGTTTGAATACCACAGTAATAAGGAAAGAAATAATAAACACTGATATGATAACGGAAAAACCCTAATTGGATAAAAACTTCGGAACCAAACCAGTTACCTTCACTATAGATAATACAGATTTACAGTAAGATGCTGCCTAGCCAACTCTACTAGACTTCCTGATTTAATTCCTGTAACCTCCAAGATCAGTTGAACCCACCAGCTCCCGATCTTTTGCAATTGTCTCTTCCAAGTGGAATTCCAAAAATGCCCCGTTCTTATTCTTTTCCTGCACTTGTAGTCGAACTTCTCTCAACCTCCAATAGCCTCTGAAGTTCAACTAAGAAAGTACATTCCTATTACCAATAGAAAGTAGGTGGTGTTTTGGATTCAATGAGTTTGATGTCTTTCCCAAATATGTGATTGTATGATCTAAAGAAGAAAAGATGGAATCAATGTATGAATAGGCCATTGGATTTTCGAAGAATAATATAAATATGTTTAGAGAATAAGCACAATGAACAACCACACCACAATTCGTGCATATGCTTGAATATATATAGGAGAGGGTAATTAGGTTGAATGGGTTAAAAAAAATTTCAAAACAACAAATTAGGATTTTCCGGATCGACCTGTCGCTCGAGCAAGGGTTCAGCAATAGGCGAGCGACGCACTGTTGCTCAAGCAAGAGCTCGGCGACAGACGGACGACAGGCAGTATGATTTTGCCGCTCGAGCGCTAACTGGGCGAGAAACTAGCGAAAATACAGAGCATTGTTTCTCTTCTTTTCATGTTTGAACCCTATACTTCATAACTCAATTTGTACAAATTGCACACTATGTCCTTGACTTTTACAACACGTTACAAATTAGTCCTTTTGTCTACAGAATCGCCAACACCAAAAACCTAACAAATTCCCCATTTGACATTTTGTGACAAAACTATACAGTAAGTCATGGAAAACTTAACACAAAATCTAAGGGGCTGTTCTCTTAGTGTTTCAATTTTGTGTTTTAAGTTTTCAATTTATTTTGGGTTTTGTGTTTTGAATGTTTATTTTGATATTGTTGAAAAAGTGTGCGTTTTGGCAGTTTGAAAAATTGTTTTGAAAACATCCAATTGTCGTTTTGAGTTTTCTTTGCAAATTTTTAACTTATTTTCAAAAATGTGTTTTTGAAAATAAGAAAGAAAACGCGTTTTTACTGTTTTGGAAAATCGAAAACAGAAAACGGCTTAAAAAATGTAAACAGAACAGACCCTAAACTACCTAAGTTTCATCAAGCTAGACTTTCCTTGTTAAACTTGTTTCCTAAAACCCTAAACTTAAATATCCAGTGTAAAAGCACGTGATACAGGAAATAATAATATCAACACTAGTTAGATTGAGATGTAATACTAATGTTAATCTAAACACCAACAAAAACTCAAATAGTTAGGTAAATATGATATGGAATGAAATACAATCAATAAATCTCCCCCTATGAATCTACTTCACCTTAAAAATTTAAATTCTCACTTTCAAAACCTTTACTACTTTTAAATTCTCTCATTCAAAACATTTACTACTTCACTCTCTCCCAAATGACGAAGGGATCGATGATTAAAAACTTTTAACATTAACATATAATAACTCAAAAATGTAAATTGTATAAGTGACTCATATGTGTAAAGTGTTACTAACCCTTTGTAAGTAGGACTCTAAACCATAATTTTGTGAGAAATGACATGCTAAATATCACTGCAAATAAATGTATCATCTACTTATGAAAGTCAAACCATTTAAAACACATTATTAGAACCTATAAAGAAAAACTCATTTTGTATGGATATTTTCTTTTCTCCCCTTGATTTTGAGCATATTTTATTTTTACATCTTTCAATATTTTAAACTCATTATTATTTTTCACATCTTAAGTGCAAGCTCTTCTCCATTAAGCGATTAAAATGATCCCTGTAGCGAGTTTTAAGTTGGTTAACCCAAGTCAGTTGACCATAAGCACCGGGTTATGAGAGACCCCGCAGGCTTAATCGCTCGAGTCAAATAAGCTCCAAAGAAGAATATAATATATTGAGCTTTTTATTATAAGGGATAAACTTGAGTTTAAGTCTAATAAATAAGGTCAATTCATGTTCAAAATTACCTTACTAACATGTGATTGTCATCCCAACTCTAACATACGTAGTAGTGTTTCACTAACAATATCATAGTGTGTGCAGTGTTGATGCTACATAAAGACACCAATACAAAATACTCCATAATAACCTAAACAAGTAATGAAAACTATGCTACAGCTTATCAACTAAACTCATACTTGATCATACCATGCAAATTCAAGTATTATATATAATTTGCTGTAAAGAATTTTTCGCATTTTTTATTTTTCAATATTCCAATTTTTTTTATTGTTTTTTATTTAAAACATGAATGTACCAATCACACAAAAAAATCAAACACAAAATGCATGAGATTTCTACCTAGAAAACAAATAAACAAATGTGATGCATGCATAAATCAATGACATACAATGATAAAGCACGATCATGCATAAAAAAATACATAATCAGTTAGGTATACAAATGCTCTTACCTTTAAGAGTATCGTGATCTATTTCAAAAATTTTCAAATCACTTTTCTTTACCCAAACTTGCCTAGTGACAAGAATATTTATGGTCATCTTTGTCATTAACTTGATCAATTTATTTACCTGATTAGTAAAGAAGTCAATCTGACCAACATAATCTTGATTCTTACTTATATTTAAGTTTCGGCTTCTATTTCTATTCAAGAAATGACGACACCTAAACCTTATGTGTCTTGACTCACCATGGTGAAAACATGTAGGGATAAACATAGAACCAAATGTATGTGATCGCTGACGTCCATTCCTAGGTTAACGGGTCCTACGCTGTCTAGTAGGCTTTCGTCCTACATATAACTTATTATTAGGTTCAGGGTTAGGCACATATTTAAATTGATCAGTACCAGGGACAAACGTGGTTTTGGACGTACTAGCAACATTATGATCTTTCTTCTTATTAGGGTTGGACGTGGGTTGTGTTAGATTGGTTGAGTCCAACCAAAACCTAACCCAACATGTTTGGTTTGACAATAATTCAAATCGAAACTAACTCATTCACGGTTGAAACCCAACCCAATCCAAACTAACCAAACTCGGGTCGGTTTGGGTTGGGTTGATTGGTTTGGACTTAAGTCCAATTCAAGTTGAACAATTTTTTTATAGGCCTAATAGTTATGATATTTTTTGTTGAATTTGAACAATTTTTTAAAAGTTTGACACCATTTCAATTTGGACCAATTTTAGTTACATTAAAAAGGGTGATTTGAAAGGCCTTAAGTCGATTGAAATTGAATCAATGGTCCGTGGGGTTAAGTTCCATTCCAATAGAACAATATAAATTAAAAATATTGTAAAACATGTTAAATGGATTATATCATGATTAAATTAAATACACATTAAATCAATCTAAATACATGTTGAATATCTGCATATTATACATATTGAATAAAATAAATTCANTCAAATCGAAACCAACACATTCACGATTGAAACCTAACTCAATCCAAACCGACCAAGCTCGGGTTGGTTTGGGTTGGGTGGGTTGATTGATTTGTATTTGAGTCCAATTTAAGTTGGACAATTTTTTACAGTTCCAATGGTTGGGATTTTTTTCGTTGAATTTGAACAATTTTTTAAAGTTTGATACAATTTTAATTTGGATCAATTTCAATTATATTAAAAAAGGGTGATTTGAAATGCCTTAAGTCGAAGTTCGATCAATGGTCCGTGGGATTAAGTTACATTCCAATAGAACAATATAAATTAAAAATATTGTAAAACCTGTTAAATAGATTATATCATGATCAAATTAAATCAATCTAAATATATGTTGAATACCTGTATATTATAAAATGAATTCAACCTAAATACTAAAATTGTTAAATCATCCAAACTCAATATGAAATCTTCTCTTTCAATCTAAGTGCTTAGTAAAAAATCAAAAATAAAGTCGAGAAGTTGAGGCACGAACAACAATGAGAGGCAGAAGAGACGTGAGGCAAATGAGAATTTTGATCATTAGGTTTTTAATTTTATGTACTAATTTTCTTTTTAATATTTTTTAATTTATTGGGTTGGGTTGGGGTTGATTGGGTTTTAATAGACAACCCGGAACCCAACCAACCAGACATCAAATTTGATTTCCCAATCCGAACCCAACCCAATTGAACTAAAAAACAAATCCAAACCGGTTGGTTTGGGTTGAGTTGAGTTGGGTTGATCGGTTTGATTAGTTCGGGTTGGTTTTTGTCCAGCCCCACTTCTTATATCCTAGACCTCCCTTATTACCAGTAGGCCTGTCCATTCCCAGAATGTTATCTAGTTTCATAGAACCACTTGAAAAGGTAAGAAGTTGAGACTTGAAATGCTCTAGATTCAACCTGGATTTCTAAGGTTTCCTTTTCAATGGCAGTCCACTAGCTCTCCTAGAGGTCTTCTTAAGATAACTTATGAGATTCTTGACATGAGTATCTAATGATTCATTCAAGGATTTTAACTCACTCAAGGTAGAGGTAGATTCCTGAATGTATGTTAAGAGTTTTTCTTTCTCGAACTCAAGTTCCGT